ATCGGAGCTCCTACTGGTCCAAGTACCGAATCAACCCTCAAGAGAATTATTTATCTACTTCTTTCTTAAGAAGGAATGGATTCCATCTCGTGTAATAACATTCCCGGCTACCTACTTCATCATGTCTCCAAAATACAAGGAATAGGATTCAGGATCTCAAAATCCGTACCGAGTAAATCAAAAGACACAAATCCATAAATAGGAGTCTGTTAAGAACTCAGGATTAAGATCATCCTATATATGACCATCGGTAGACTCAATTAGAATTTCTATACTTAACGGAATTATTAGAAATTCATATTGTGTCTGTGTCCATGTTTCACATAATCTCATTATGCGAAATACACTCATTCAATATCTCACCATATTAACAGTGCGGATAACACCGTTCCATTCTAAATGGGAATGACATGTATTAATAGTGTTTTAATTAAAGATTCCGAACTTTAATTAAATTCATTATGAACATTACTTTTTTATTATTATCCTTAAACATTATCCTCTCGTATATAACACTTATATACAATATTTAAGGTTACATAAATAATCATGGAATTTTCATTGATATTCATAAAATATTCATAAATATATGCACATAAAATAATGAATAAACTCTTTTATTAAATAAATAATAAATATCCTATTACATCTCATGCTTCTAGGACACCATTCCCAACAAAAACATCATCAAAGCTTTACAAAAATACAAAAATCACACTTCCACAAATCCAGCACAACCAAGATCTCGCTGTCGTACTCGTCGCGACAATGCAAGGACATGTCAGACTTAAATATCTCGATCAGGACCATCACCAAGCTGCTTGAATCTCTCTATTGTCTTGGAACCACAAAGGAGATCTCCTTCACGTGTCCATCATGGGCCTACGACCAAGATCTCATTGTCGTTCTCATCTCGCGCTACAAGGCTGCATGTCAAATAGGCGCTTCAAGGCTCTAGCTCCTTCATGACGAAATCTCCTTTTTCTTTGTCCACTCCAACAATGTTTGGGTAGAGAAGCACGACGAAGGAAGATCAATCTCTCATCGCTTAGAACCTTACAGATCTTGTGTCATTGACAAGAGGGGTGCCAACAAGAAAGAGAAGAGAAAAACACGGCGACTGCATGGCAAGATATGTGGAGATGTGATTTTACATTGAATACAATCAATACAAAGGAGAGAGGAGAGAGGAGACTTTAGAGATTACAAAAAGAAAGCTAAAAAGAACTCAAACACAGAAGTAAAACTGAAGAAATAAAAGCTAGAAACATAACAGAGGTGAATGGTAGGGAGGAAAGACGAAGACAATATATTTTACAATAATACCCTCCTCAAATGGGTCATGTACGTGACACGTGGTGAATTCCGTCACTCATTGTAATGGAAGAGAAAACTTGTTAACGGAACAAAGTTCGGGGGGAGTGGATATTACGTTTTAAAATTTGAGGGGCAAAGTGTTACAAGGGTCATAGTTCAGGGGTGATTTTTGAAATTAATCCTAAAATTTAACCCAAATTACAGAAGTTTACTATGTTAAGGTAATAAAAGTTAACCCAATTTTACTGTTTGAGTGGGGTCCAAACCATGGTTTTAAAATCAGAGTCAGAACCAGGGGTTTGAACTATCCAAAACTACGGGAGAGGAATGGTTATTTTTTGGGGTAGTTTTAGTTTAAAACATTACATCATAGTTCAAACATTGAACCAAAGCCATCCAAATCAAATACTGGTTTTTAAGAATCATTTTTTACTTTTTGTAAACAAACAAAAATTTGAACTTGAATCATAATTCTAATTCTAGAACTCTCATGCCAAACACAACCTTAAACACTCTAAGCACAGTACACTTTAGAAGGTCATGTCCCTAGTACGATGTTGAATCGTTATTTTCGGCGCCCATGAATAAGCTCACTTGAAGTGGCATGATGGAAAAATAAATTAAAAAATAAAAACAAAAACAAAAAGAAATATCACCATGACCAACAGATATAAATTGCTTAGTTAATCCTTTTTTCCCTTTATACATCCAATTAAGCTTAGACGAGCTCCCTTTTCAATCTTAATTCTAATTATTGAGCATTTAATAACAAAACAAAAAAACAAAAAAACAAAGCTAGACTAGATTTGCTATAGTATTTTCTCTCATAAAAAATACACGTAAATCAAAAATAATTTTAAATCATAATTCTAAATTTATAAATCAAACATTCACTTCCCCACTCGCGTTTCATCTACTTTCATTGATGTGTTACTTCATACATACCAGCATGTTTTCTTGCAAGGCCAGGGTGTTATCTTGTCGTTCAATCACAAGTCCCCATCAATTCTAAAACATTTAAAACGTCTTTATCTCCTCACAAAATGTCTCCCGCAACACCATGCTAACACCCATAATATAGCTCAAAGGAACATTTACCATATAACATATATCGTATTAGTTGTTTAAAAAATGAGCCCTGTGATGATGTCTATCTTTGTTCTCCGTATAAGAAAGTACGAATATAACTTTTGAGGTTCAAGTTTCAACCATCAATTAAATTGGACCATGAATAATGCTAGAAATACCAGTTTTAATTCCATCTTTTTACACTAATTCCGAGTTGTCATGAGAGTTGTTTCAAAAATTGTCACAACAATCAGTAATAGAGATTATATTTGTTAATGAAAATATGACATCTCAAGATAGGTACAAAAAATAAGGAGTAAAATTGGTGTTTCTAACACTACTCTTGAACCATTAGTGCCACTTTTTATTTAACCATATTATTGATCATAATTTCTTTGATCTATTTTTCTTGGAAATATAGATCAAGGACATTATGAATTGAGTTTTGTTTTTCCTTTTTCATCGATTTTTTTTTTATCAATTACTAATTTGACAAATTAATATTGTGAGTTAAACCTTGCCAACTATACTTCTACACAATATAGGCACACCTAAATGTAAATAATAATATTTTTGGCTCTTCAATTAATCTCAGTCTAATATTGGAACAATATATTCTCATTAGATGTTCCCGTGCCACATTGTTATTGATGATTTATTAACTCATGGCTAAATATCTAGACAGCTAAATTTTCATATTATTAATAAGATATCTAATGTATTGGATCCGATTTATTGTAACACTACTTAATCTGTAGACACAGCACCAGAGACCTGCAAAAAACAACTCAAATCATAAGAATTGAAGAATAACTTGGACATTATCTGTCAGAAACGTTAATTTGTTGGAGAAAGAGGAAGATTACATTTTTGTTCAAAAGTGTACGTGCATGGCTTAAAAGTCAAGAAGGTGACGATAATGTAATTTTTCGTCAACAAGAATACACCAAGTTACCACTTAGTAACCGGCCAAACCGCGTGTGAATGACTACTTGATATCTGGTTAATTTTAATTAGAAAAGTGTAACTGGTCGTGTATGGATCTTATGGATATTCATAATACAATGTAATGTAAGAAAATAAGAAGAACACCAGAAATTATAGTGGTTCACTCTCAAGACAAGAGCTACGTCCACTTTGAGAAATTTCTCTATGTTTTCTTTCTTTTTGATTACAAGGGGGCTTTTTTTCTCTCAAATGACCATCATCCTTTCTCTTTGGGGCCTTGCCCCTTTTATATCTCAGATTACATTTTGGAGAAAACCGAGGCAAATGGTTACCAAGCAGTTTCTCTCGAGTAGCCTATTATCCTACTCAACTAGACTGTAGCTATTTAGTACCTTTTCAGACTGTTCATCTACCTACTTTGTCCACTATTGTGGCTCTGTGACTCTCTATGACTTTCCATTGGTCTGTTTTAGGCGGCTAACAGGCTAGTAGTCATTTTCCTTGCCACTGACTTTGTTCATGCCTGCAAGTAACCTAGGGATTTTCCTCCTGTCACTTCCGGAGATACTCTTGGGATCTGAGTCAGAGGACTAAACACGCTACCCTCTACGTTCTCACTAGGCCCCAATGACAAGTTAAAACGGAACCTCCGTCCCGTCGATCCTCGCATAGCATCGTCGGTCTATGGGGACTTTGGATCCGCCTCCATCTTGACTGCTTGATCGGTTGACCATTGTTGTGGATGTTGCACATTACAAACTTGTTGTTGTTAAGCGTTTCTTCAAGGATTATTTTGGAAGGTCTTGGGACGGTCGACCCTTCTCTCACTGTTACTGGCACTCATCTTTGAAAGCTAATCCTTCGACCGTCATCACCTGTCTGGTGGCTGGCGTGGCATGACAGCGGCCACGTGGAGCTTGGTTATCGTCTGACGTGGCAAGGTAGATTTTCCCTCATAATAAATAACAAATAGAGAAATTTATATTGTAGCTAGGTTCTCAAACTTCTGAACTCTTGCCACTTGCATCCCCAATTTCAAAATCTTGGTTCTGAGTTAATTTCAAACTGACAATCCTTAAACCTTTTTTTCTTTTTCCAATAAGAAAATTAAACTCTGCAATTTTCTTGGCACATAAGTATCCGACTTTGTATTTTGTATTTTGTCAATTCTTTCTAGCGAATTTGCACATAGGATCCCAAATTTTGGAATTCTGACACTTGGGTCTCCATCTTTTATAATCTTGACTTACGAGTTCTTAAACATATAGGGTCTATTTAGTTCAAGCGTTCAACTCAGTAATTCTGATTGAAATTTTGTAAGAAAAGAAAATTTTTAATTTAAATTTTTTGTATGATAAAAAATACTATAACAAAATCAAAATAACGGATTTAAGTATATGTACCAGAACGGGGACGTAATTCTTTGAATTCGTAGGTCCTTCTGTTAATTTGATCATTAACTTCCTCATGTACAAATGATCGGGGTTTTAAACGGTTTTCTACAAATTAAAAGGTGTTTTGAACGGTTTTATAAAATCATGAGGCATTTTGAAATAGAGTGTACTTCAAGGGGCATTTATGAAAATAATCCAAAATCTGACCGTTAGTAGTGAGAATTCCATCATATCTCTTTATCTGCACAAATATTAGAGGCTTCCAAAGACTGAACAACAAAAAACAACTATACACCAACAAACATCCATCTCTCATGGCCTTCTCTGCCACTCTCTCATCACATTTACAAAGCTCCTTCCGGCGATTTTCTCACTTCTCCCAAACTTCAAGAAGAAACCCGATTCGTCTTCGGTCGATTAGAGCTGTAAAATCTGCAGAGCCAGAAAAGGAGAAGAAGGCTACAGAGGCCAAAACTCAAGACTCCTCCAATGCTCAACCTTCTTCACCTCCTAAGCCTGCTCCTTCTAAGCTTCTCAAAAAGCCCGTATATTCAAGTAAGTTTTCTTTCTGTGAAATCCTTTTTTTTTTTTTTTTATGAATTTTGAGAATTTGTACTATTATTTAGTGATTATCTTTTATTTATTTTATGTTGCGCAGTGAAGAAAGGTCAAATTGTGAGGGTGGATAAAGAGAAGTATCTGAATAGTATAAATGTAAGTAGAATTGGAGTACTTCCGCTAATCGAACACACACAGATACGTATTTTGTAACCATTTGTGCGCTAACATCTTCTACTTGTAAAAGACCGTAAAAAGGACATTATTCCTTCAAAAAATAAAATAAATTAAAATTAGGGTGATTTGCTATTTTATACCCTTTTAAGCTTATTATAACTATATATTATGTATTTCGAATGTTCTGAACAATGTACTGTTAGATTTTCCCAAAAAAAAAAACAAAACAATGTACTGTTAGAATTTAATTTCATATCAAATTCTTATTGGTGATCAAAATTACTTGTCCAAGAGAAGGTCTATGATATTAAATTAAAATTCGAATAAACAACATTGAGAAGTTAGAACATATTTGATCAGGACAAAAAGAGAAATCCAAAAGGGCATGATATATATTTTCTATAATCATAAAATATAGGGTACAAACTAGCAAATAACACGGGAACTCCAGTGCTGAATATAAGTACACCAGTGCTGTTATAACTTGAGAAAAAGAAAATAATGCAGATCCCTCGTTTCTTTTCTGCTGAAATCTACCAATCCCAGCAAAATAACTAACTTGAATGCAATGCAACAGTAGTTGATTTTGGCAAAAAAGTTCACAACAAAATAGAGAATTGCACTTTAATATAATGATTTATTTGCATTGCTTTCTTTAGCTTTAGAAACTGATATATAGCACTCCTATTTATCGCGATGGAATTAAAATCCCGCTATTCACACAAGGTTAGTTCCGCTAGGTGGATAGGTGGGATCCAACCTAATGAGACACACCATTTTGTGAGTAACGGAGTTTTTTCTCAACCATTTTTTACTGTGATATTGATACAAACTGCAGTATTTATCTGTTGGGCACCCTCCTTACTACAAAGGCCTGGACTATATCTATGAAGACCGCGGCGAGGTAAATCCTTCACATTGTTCTCTTCTCATTCAAGTCATGAAACAATGTTGAAGATATATAGTTGATCAGGGGAATGGTGAAAATTTCCCTTATCCAAGTTTGATTCGAAATTTCGAAGTAACTATATGGAAATTTTGTTAGGTCTTGGATTTACGCATTTTCGAGACAGGAGAGCATGCACTGGTAAGAGACTCCTCGAGTCCTTTCCTTTTTATTCTCTTACATTTTTTTGGTTATTCATTTCTTTGTTCTTTTCACTCTTGCACTCCAAATGCTAAGCTTTAATTGATAGGACCAACCCTTACCAAACTACTGTTTTAAGTGAATTTGTTTTTATCAAGGGTATTTGGGGTATATACCCATAAACTTTTTACTATTGAGAAGTTCAATATTTTATTTTATTTTTATTTTAACTTGCATTGCGTTTCCTTTCAAATTTTAACTTCAGGGTTGTTTAATCGGAGGATTCGTACCCCGATTCGAATCATAGTTCATGATTTACTATAGTATTTTCTCTCACAAAAAATACACGTAAATCGAAAATGGTTCTAATATTATGATTCTAATCCATGAACCAAACGTCTCTGAATCATTTATCAATTTAAGGGCACTCTATAAATTTAATCCATTCAAAAGTAATATGTTATAATTAAAAGTTTAAAGACTAACTTGTCAATTCGGTCAAAGTTCAAGAGGAAAAAAAAGCACTAATAACCCTGTTGTAAATGCAAAAGTCAACGGTGAATTTGCTGAGACGTTACTGTTTTACAGGTTGCATGGGTTGGTATTCCAACAGCGCCGGCTTGGCTTCCAACTGATATGCTTATTAAGGTACTACTATTATATGCTTACTAAGGTACTACAATTTTAACTGCTTGTTTTATTGGCTACCGACAAAATGCTGATGATTCAAAGATGCCAATCCAAGCTGAGCTCATTCTAGCTCAATTAAGTAGCCAAAAAATAAATAAATAAATGGTTATTTTGATAAATACCTTGTAAATGTGCATGGATTATAATTTTTACCTTTTACTATTAATTTATAACTTTTTTAGTTAAATAATTACACTAATAAAAATGTATTTATCAAGAGTAGAGAATAAAGATCTAAACTCATACACTCTTAAAGGTAAATTCTCCATTTTTTTCATAAATTTTAATTAAATTCTACAGAAGTTGCAGTAACAAGCATTTTTTTGAAACTTGTTTGAACTTAATACCGTGTATTAAATTTTGAAGTAAATAGTATATTTACTAGTTTAGTAAGTATACCATTTTTTTTAATTTTTTTTAATTTTAATTATATATTTACTTCAACATATGTCAACAAAATGTTACATTGTATTCTAATTAGCCACATTTCTCATCTCTTCCTGCAGTCGGAGAAACTCGATTATGAGAGATTGTGAAATAGGAAGCTCAATCCTCTTGTGATTGATTCCATTGGAGGAAAAGTTTTTCCTCCAAGTACCGAGTATATCCAAGACCCTAAGGCGTTTTGGCAAGATGGGTTTTATTCCTTTAAGTGGCAAATATCATTCTATACCATGAACTAGAAATCATGAAATGTAGTTTATAAAACTTACAATTTGTCTCCTTTACCTGAGAACTGCATAAAATTCTTCACCAAAATTCTTGTATATTTTGCCCAGAGTGAATATATGCATGTCACTCTGTCTTCATAATAGAAAAGAAACTGGTAACATCTCTTTCTTTATGAAAGAAGAACAAAATCAAAGACCATCCCAAGTAATGGACAATGGCACTCCCAATAGCATTGCTCATACAATACAAATTGAATATATTACAATTAACGAAGTTTTGCTATCAGTTTCACCAAAGAAAAAATATGATATAAGACTATCTTTCATGCATTAACTCATACACAACTTGATGAACAAGTGCTTTTTATACACATAATAATTAGCTCATGAGTGAGGAACAAGATCATCTGACTTCTAGGTTCTGTCCAACTCTTTGTGCGCCACTAAAATTGTGACACATCACCAACACCAAGCCCACTAAACAAAAACTGACAGAGACAACTAACTTTAGCTTTTCTTCAATCTTAAAATTCTCAATCTTGCCATGTTTTGGCTACTAGAACTTTGAAGATACTCTAGCATTCCAAAAATATGTACTGAACGAAAGCACAAACTCTTGCAAAAGAAAATTTAACCTTTAAAAGGCTAAAATAGAATTATACGTCTTATGAAGCATAAATGCCAGGGAAATTCGACACCATCAAGTCACAGCGCAATTCATCACCATGATTATATATCCAAGCTTCTTTCCCTGCAGTTTCAACAGAAAGTTCATAGAATAATTTGGGTGTGTCAGTTATACATAAAGGTTTTGCTTTCAATATAATCATCTCCGGTAGATCTTTCTCAACATAAGCCACTGTTGGAATAAATAGATCAAAATGGTTTTCCATTCCAATATAGGAGTTAGAATCACGTTGAAAGAATACACAGTTTCACGAGTGTTAGCTTCATTGCGACTTTCTGTAAACAAGTAGTTCACAATTGAATGGCTATAAAAGTATAAATTGAGTAAGAGTGTTTCAGCAACATTTCTTTGGGGTAATGGTGCTCTGCAATTGATACAATGTCAGTCCTACAATCATATTTGACTCTGGTCTCCTCAGATCAGCTCATAGCACTGTGATCAGTTCCTGAACACACCTTAGGGAGACTTATCATACCAATGCAATAATAGGAGACTTATCATACCAATGCAATAATAGGAGACTTATCATGCCACTGCGATAATCCGTCTTGCATGAATGCTTTTTGAAATGTCTTGTGTTACGTTGTTAGGAACCAACCCCTTTTGGATCACATCCTCAAGAAGCTTGAGAGCAACATAAATTCTATGGGCCTTTATATAACCAATGATCAAGGTGTTGTAGGAAATAATATTAGGTTTAACACCCATTGACCCCATTTGTTCAAAAACCTTTTTTGCCTTGTCCATGTCACCTAGCAGGCAATATCCCTTGATCAATGTCGTGTAGGTTACAGTATTAGGCTTGGGACCGTGTCGAATCATTCCATCAAGCAATTTTTCAGCTTTGTCCATCATACCCTTTTCAGAAAAAGCATCCAAAACTCCATTTAAAGCTACAGAATCAGGCAATATGTTAAGCCTACCCATTTCATTAAACAATCTCCTGACTTCTTCCCATAGACCTAAATGACTCAATCCATAAAGTAATGTACTATAAGTGACAATATTTGGGGTTACACCTCTCTGAATCATGAGATGAAACACATCAAGCGCTTCCTTCATCCTTCTTTGCTTGCAAAGAGCATCAACAATGGTGGTGAAGGTTATAGCATTTGCAGGAACACCTTCATTGTCCATTTGATCTAACAAATGGATGGCTTTCCTCCATTGACCCAAACGACAAAATCCACAAATTAAAGAAGTGTAGGTTACGACGTTTGGTTTTAGACCTCTATCATTCATTGCTTTTAAAAGATCAAGTGCCTCTTGAATTCTCCCCTCCTTACACATCGCATCCAATATAGAGGTGTATACAACAATATTTGGAGAAATTTCCCGAACAGCCATGATTTCTAAGAATTCCATTGCCTCTTCCCAACGACCACATTTGCATAACCCATGAATCAGAAAAGTACAAGTCACGATGTCCGGTACAACATCATGGCTGAACATATCTTCAAACAAGCTCAAGGCCTTGTCCACTCGTCCTTCGTCGCAAAGACTACGGATGATTTGATTGCAGCATCCTAGAGCGGGTTTAATCCTTTTATTGTCATACATAATCCTCACTAGCTCAAGTGCCTCACAGGTTTCTCCAGCCTTACAAAACGCATTGACCAAAATCCCATAAGTAAATTCATTACAAGGTTGTTCATTTTCTAGTATTTCCAAAAATAACACTCTCGCCGCAGCTAGCCGCCCTTCATTGCAAAGCCCGTGAAGCAGGGTATTTAGCGTAAAAGCATCCGGCTTAAGGCCCTGTTTAAAGCTAATCGCCAAAACAGAAAAACCCAAATCCAGATTCTTAACACGGCATAGACATTTTATCACAATGGTCAATGTACAGAGATTTGGTCGGAATTGAACACAACCCAAAGCCGCCATATCTCTGTACATAGAAACAACAGCCGAAAAATGATTCATCTTGGAGAGTGCCGCAAAGAAATGATTGAAAACCCGAATAGAAGGCAAGGGTCGCATCCGAATCATGAAATTGAAGTAACCCACTGCTTCATCTAGCTTAAGTTTTCCAAATTTACATCGTTTTTTAATCCTTTTGAGCGATAATGGAGGATGAGCATAAGAACGAAATTGGGTTCTGAAAAGGGAAAACAGAGAAAAGAGATGAGCATTACCGGGGCATCTTGGGGTCAGCATCAAAGCCCGATTGTCATCTTGAAATACTGATGGCTAAGGCTTCGATTACAAATACAGACAGAGAGATGATGTAAAACCAAACCCTAGCGCCGCAAAACCCAACCTTGAAAACATGTGACTTCCGCCACAATATATTGCCGAAGCACTTGATACCTCACTGGAATCCAGTAGATCAGAAACCATAACGAAGATTTTCGCCAGAAATGAAGCTTCCGGTGAATTTCTTGCAGTTTGAGCATATATCGCGGTTAACGGAACTAATAATTTTATTTTATTTTTTTATTTTTTTTTTTTTCAGAAAGGAGATGAATACCATTTGCATGGTTCTTTTTTGTTAATGATATTGAACGGTTTTTCATTTTTATCTTTTATTCTTTATCCATACTCTTTTAATCAAATGTTATATTAGACGAAAGGAAATATAAGAATAAAAAATAAAAATTTACACTCATAAACTTCTAATATTAATTCAATAATTTTTTTAGATTAATTTTATAAATACTCTTTGAATTATATCATTTTAAAATGCCCATTAAATTCTCAAAATTATTCGAAACACTCCCAATCTATAAATTACTATTCAAAATGTCTCATGCGTCTTTCTTATCTATTATTCTAGAGATTAATTTCATAAATATTTCCGTATCACGTACTATTTTTTAAAATATCTTCTCAACTTTTAAAACCGTTTAAAACACTTCTGATCAATAGAAAACTATTCAAAATGCCCCGTTTGTCTTTCTCCTTCTATAATTCTTACGATTTTAATGACATGGGAGTTATTAAAAATTTTAATAAATGTATTTAAAATATAAATTAGTATTATGAAAAATTATAAATAAAACCACTAATTATTCCATGCAATACCAATTATTGATATTAAAAAACTTATACCGTGTTTGGAATTATTTTTATTTTTATTTTTTACATTTTTTAAGAAAGAAAAAATGAAAACGGTTCAAAAACGGCGTTTAGCATAATTAAAGACAAAAAATAGAAATGAAAACAATTTTTTAGTTTAGTGTAAAATGGAAGAAAAATAAAAACGACTTTTAATCATTTTTCATTTTTTGTTTCTGTTTTCTCCTCTCTCGAGCAGAGAGAGATAAATATTAATAAGTTTTTTTATACTGAAAATAATCTCTTAATAAAATTATTAAACACATATTCAAAAATAATTTATATCTGAGATTGAAAACGTTTTCATTTTAATTTTACATAAAAACTAAAATTATTTAAAACGAATTCAAAACGCGACCTTAATCTCATCCATTCATTTAAGTATGGCGGCTTGAAACCATAGTTTGACGGTTTGATAATCTGGCCGTGCGGTGTGAGTGGGTCGTTTGGTGGGTTTTTGTGCACCCCTACCACTCTATTTGTTTTTTTTTTTTTTCCCTCTCTTTTTTCTGAATAAACAAAGTCCACCCGTTATAGACAGTGAGAAATTTTTTAGCTTTTACCTAATTTCACTGCGTAATCGCTAGTTTAGCTCCAGAATTTGTCTAATAGTGATGAAGTTAAACACTTAACATATTAATTTGAATTGATTAATTGAGCTATTCTTGTTTTAGCTTCAATTATATATGATCATTCGATCTTCTTGTTAAATGATAAATGTATTAATTTGAGTTAGTTAATTTATCTATAATTATTTTAGTTTGAATTATATACTCATTGGATCCCCTTGCTAACTATAAAATCCATGAAGATTGATGAGGGAATTTTTGTGGGACGAACAATGGACTTTGTAGTTTGTCGCTTGGGACACATGAGTGAAATACAAAGAGAAATGAGATTTGGGAAAAAATCTTATCTTAAGAAGAAAAATGTGGCTATAGCGGGAAATCTTAGGCCATGTTTGAAATTGATTCTATTTTTATTTTTTATATTTTTTGAGAAAAAAAAATGAAAATGTTTTTAAAACGACGTTTGACGCAATAAAAATAAAAAACGAAAATGAAAATGATTTTTTGGTTTAGTGTAAAATAAGAGAGAAATAAAAAATGACTTTTAGTCGTTTTTCATTTTTTATTTTCATTTTATGTTCTCTTGAGCAGAGAGAGAGAAAGAAAGACATTAATGAATTTTTTTACACTGAAAATAATCTCTTGATAAAACTACCAAACGCATTTTTAAAAATGATTTCTGTCTGAGATTAAAAACGTTTTCATTTTCATTTTCATACAAAAAATCAAAATTATTTTAGAACGAGTTCCAAACGCGCCTTTAACAACACTCTTTGTGGGCAGCACAGTCATTAGAAGCAAGTATTGGGTTACATATGGTTGGGACTCTATTTTATCATCTTTTCTTGCATTGCTCAGTAGCAAAGAATCTTATCTAAAGACTAGACGGCCTTCTAGAGTCTGGTTTTTCTTTGCTCTTTCCAACTCCGTCGGTTTCGAATCCAACGACATAGCTAAGGTGTTGTGGAAAAGCATTGTCGTCTGTATTTTTTGGACACTCTTATACCATATTAAGTTTTAGATAGAAAAGAAAGAAAGCTGTAATGAGAAAGTATCTGAATTCTCAATAAACTCGGAATGGTACATCTGAGTAGCTAATCACATCATTGACATCGGTAATTAGAAGGGCAAAAACTAGCATCAGACAGAATCCAAGTTTATCATAGCGAAAACACCTTATTTTAATCGTTTAAGATCAGCAGTGAGGAAGAAAATTGACCCTGCAATGAGAATTTGGCTAAAATAACCGAGTAAAAAAGTAAAATTAGAAAAATGACTTTTTAATTTTAATTTTATTTATTTTATTTGAATAAATTCTTAATTCCACGGTGAGAAAGGAAAAGAGAGGGAGATAAACTGACCGAAAATGAGGAGGCGTTGATGGTGAGGGGAGAGATCTTGGGTTTGTTGGCAACTAGGCGGCGACGACGACAATCCGCGGCGGCAACAACGACAATCGAAGGCAGCGGAAGCTGGAATCGGAGCCTACGACGCTGAGAATCAGCGGCTAGAGAGAGAAGGAGCGAGAGAGAGGAAGAAAGGCAGAGGAATTTCTGGCAGAGATGCGGAGATGGCGAAGTGTTTCCGAAGAATGGGAAGAATGGCTTCTTCGGGAGAATAAATGTGAAGAAATCAAAAAAATTTGCTTTTTTTTCGTTTTTCTTTCTTCTCAGAAAGTCATTTTGCAAATAAAAATTTTTGAATTGTCATTTTATGAATAAAGCTTTTTTATTAGATTATTTTTACAAAGGCCTCCTGCAATAGGACTTGAATCTTATTTTGCACCAAACTCATATGAAAATAATGATTAAGGCAGCAACTTTAAATGGCACAAATTTGGATCCTGTTAGAACAAATTTGTTAAGTGTGAACTTTAAGGCCTCGTTAGGCCTCATTCAGTTCGTTGATTTGAGTTTTTAATTTGAGCTGATATGTGACTTTATATGAGAGCTTTTAACTGCAACAAAAAAAAATCAGATGTGATTTTTTGAGATAGCTTTTAACTATAGCAAAATTAAAATTGAAAATTCGAATCAGTGAAATAAACAAGACCTTTCAAGATCAAGAATAGTTTTTACAGGATAAAAATTTACTGGACTGATTTTTCTAAGTGTACAATAAATCAGATAAATGGGTGAAAAAAAAGAAGAAGAAGAAGTATTGGAGTTAACTTGATCAGAAATCCACGGAAAAGAATCAACATGGCAGCACCCTACACCCTGCATAAAAGCGAGACAAGTTCGACTCGGCTTCTCAGCAACTCTTCAAACTATAAATCAAAAACCTGCTTGGAAGTAGAAAGAGATCAGGGAAGGGGTGCATGAAATAAATTGGCACATGATTTCAGATCAAAGAGGACTTTTAATCATAAAATGCAGGATACCATTAAATGTAGCTATTTCAGCGAATAAAAAGACTATTGAAATTATGAGGGCCGCATTGGATTCATAGTGCTCTTTCTGTCAAAAATGACTTCAATACAAAAATACCACCAGTTGTTTACTGAATGCATGCACTATTTTTGTTAGGGGAATCATTCTGCTTCTAGGCATTTTTATTAAGATTATTTTTGACATTTTTTCTTTTCTGTACTTATTTTCTGCATTTTGTTTATTCCTTTATTCACTGTGAGTAGAGGAGGATAATGTTAATTGAGTATGAAGAAATAAGCAATAGATAAGAACAGCAGAAGCCAGATGTGAAAAACTGAATTTACCAGCTAGCTCCTGTGTTCTTTCCTTTGGGATTTTAGCAACATAAAATAATAAATTCCTGCGTGCTTGTTATTTCTAGTTCTTTTGATTATTTTGCTCATAGATTATGTTCAAGCAAACTTATAACCAAGCTGGTGATTTCTTGATAATTAATTGTGGACATCTAATTGGCCTAAAAGTTTTCGTACTGTTGGATAATCTTTCTTCTATAAAAGAACAGAATATTGTTAATATTATTTTATCACTTTCCCATGGCTTTTTTTTTTTTTTAATTGTTTACAGATCTATTACTGTCTAATTTCGAACAGAACTGCGTGAAAAAGTGAAATCCATATAGCCGACCCCAATTAAGTTAGGATTAAGGTTTGTTGTTGTTGTTGTGTTGTTGTTTACAGATCTATTACCATTCTAGCAGCCATGATAATAGGACCGTTCTGTAACACCAGCATGAGATGTTATAGACATAATGGAAAGATTTTAACTTTAAAGTGCCCTCTAATAGCTATAGCATCTTATAAGCAAGTGTTGCATATATATATATATATGTGTGTGTGTGTGTGTGTGTGTGTAAAACTTGTTACCACGATGTCGCAGCTTTTGGAGAAAGATACGTATTTGAGCAAGTTCTGAAGAAGAGACCAAAAATATTTACCTTGCAAAAACAAAGAGGAACAACTATAGAGCAGAATTACCTCAAGACAATATCACAAGACCAAGATACATCGCCCCACAAAGAAATAAGAAAGATATCAACCCCCTGCATTAATTGAGTGAATTTCATGGTGTAGAAATGAGTTATGTCAATTGTCAATCCTAAAGAAATGTTGCTTCAACAATGTGTGAAAGGAAGTAATAAAGAATAAAATAAAGCAAACTCAATGGTAATATACCCACCAAATGACTCCCCATCCCACACCATTACAAGGGCAAGGACAAACTTCAGCAAATTTTTCAGCGTCACTCGAGTGAACTCTACGGGAGATAAGGTCGTCGTAGATATCTGCATCATTATGAACGTATAAGGTTTCCATTTAGTGAGAGAAAGAAGATTTGACACCAAATTTAAGTGGGGTTTTCTTAAATCCACACCATAAACTGAAAACAAGCTGTTCATTACACCTGCAAAGTGGAAACATAAGGTAAGCGATATTCTTTCATTGCCTCAGATATATAGATTAACAAAAAGAAATAAATAAATAGATAAGCAGATGATGGTTTTTCAGACGAACGGCAAGAATTAGTCGGATTTACCAATGAATAGAATGATGTACCGAAGTATACGAACTTTTGTTGTTTCTTGCAGAATCCAAACCGCACCGAGAAAAAAAATAAATCCTGGTAGCTCAATTGGAAATGAAAAAAAACCACATCTGAAGTCGAATCCTTTGCAGGCCGGAGAAAAATGGATTCACTCACATATGAAATACATACCTATACAAAGTCCTCGAAGCGTCCACTGAATGCAAATTATTCAGCAAAAAGAAATGAAAAGAAAAGAAAAGAAAACAGTACAAACATAACAGTGTAAGGATACTATGGCTAACAAACTGAGAAAAGTGAACAAAAACAATGATCTCAAGAATAAAAGGGCCAGTATGGACTGCTTTACTTCAGACAACGTGCCGATGCTTTTCTTAAGGATAAGAAAAACTCATGTCAGTTATAAAATACTAAAACAAGATACTGCATTATTTTCAAGTGTTTCCAAATTATTTTGGGTAAGAAACTCTTTCACATTCATTTATATGAATGAAACATTTCTGTGGCATAAGAGATGAACCGAAAGCTAAGCAGTAGTAATCCTAAGGGGCAGGTTTTCTGAGGTGAAAGAGGAAGTGTCGCACATCCAAATGCTTCATAAATTGATCAAAACATGGTAAAGGAAATTTCATAAGAGCTTACATTCTTAGCTACAAAAAGTACAATAACTAGAGCAGCAAGAAAACATCCAGCAGCAATTCTTGCAGTAAGGAGATTTGTGGATGCAAGTATCAAAAGCATGCCCCAGAAAGATGAACCAAGATCTGAACAAGAAAATATGACAATTAGATAAATGGCAGATCTAAGATTTTATAAATTCATCGAATGATAGCTCTATTAAAGAGCTTAAAGCATAAATGCTAGATCCTGATTATAGGATGCCAATCAAAGCATAGACTGACTTTCCTATTAAACAAGAGCAATAAATGCATAAAAGGACAGAAAAATGGTTATAGATGAAAGAATATACATCCAGCTGGCAAAATCAACCAGTATACGCCACCGCGTGTTTGCGTTGTCCCACCTTCATCTGCATGAACCTGAATTCCTTCGACCTGCATAATATTGTGGATCAGTCATCAGTACCTGAATCAAATTCATTAGCTGTTTATGAAGGAAGTCTATATGAGAGAAGAAACCCTCATTGCAGGTAGATAAATTTTCGAATCATATGATAATTCGTCCATTTCATACAATCCCCACACTAAGGAAGGTCATAAAACAAAAATTAAATAAATCCACCTTTGCTATTCAACAAGATTTGTGGCATGCTGATAGTAACCTTATCAACTGTAGAGCTAAAAACTATCATACACTAATTTTCCATCCCTTATTGTATCCTTTTTTTTTTTTTTTTTTTTTGGCAAAACTTAATCCCATAAAGGGTCGTTGAGCCCTTGAAGTGTCAATATAAGAGGAGGCCATCATATCAGCATCCTGTGATGTTCTTCTAAAGTTTCAACTTTGCACTAACAAGATTGGAATACGTAAGAAGCCAACTATATTTCATAACTTAAATGATGCTCAACATCTTTTAGTGTATCCTCAAAAACTGATGCATCCATAAATGTCAGTTTTTACAAGCACTAAACAATTAAGAAAAACAAATGGGAAATTAGAAGTTTCAAACGCAAAACAAGAAAATGAGTTAATCTGGATATATAGCAGAGTACAATTTTGCAACGTGACTTGTCAATTGAGCATTTCATGTGGATAATTTAGTACATCTGAGGGAATTTTCACATTTTCCCAACATTAGCCACAAAGGAAAAAAAATTAAAAATTAAAGAAAATCCTATGTTCCATGTCATTGCATATTAGAATTTTGCTAATCCTTATGAAAGATAGTTATTTCTATATCAAATAACTTGTTTTCATCAACTGTAAAAGATCACGAAAAAAAAAAAGGAGAAGAAAAAGATTCTTCTATATCAAATAACTTGTTTTCATCAAATGAAAAAAAAAAAAAAAAAAAAAAAAAAAAAAAAAAAAGAGAAGAAAAAGATTCTTACTTTACCACATGTCAGTTTACAAGCAATAGCATGGCTTGCTTCATGAAGAAAAACTGTGACGAGTTTGAATGGCCTCAGGAGTATTGTCCGCCACAGCTGCAAAAATATAATTGGAATTGACATTTGACAATACATTGCATGCTTATAAGAGTCAAAATCGTCAAAAATGAAAGATAAAATATCATCCACTTTCAAATAGGTCCTGAAGCTTCACAGACCAACGACTATCTACATTATCAAACCAGTAAATTTCGATCCTTTCTCAACTGAAACACATAAGAATGCAACGACTATCTACAAACTTGGAATGAACTAAACAAGTCATAGTAGGCAATAAAAAAGAGCCCAGTTAAATTAAAAAAAAAAATTCGAAAATTCTTCGCAAGAAAAAGGAAGAGAATGCAAGTAAAAAGACTGCCCCTTTATACAATAGAATTAAACAAATTACAACCACTATCATCAAACTCCACCACTAATCGGAAAAACAAAACTCGACCCAGATCAAACCAATGCTAAAAGCATATAACCTAATAAAGAGCAAAACTTTTGATAAACTTCTTTTCCCAGAATCAAATCGGAGATTACAGTGGAGAAAACCCATATATAATAGAAAAAGAGGAGTTTGTTTTGTTTATTACCGCGAGTATAACGACAGTGCAGACAGAGACTGTGATGAGGAAGGCGACTTGTTCATGGTTGCAGCACTTCTTTAGCTCCCAGTTGGGTCTCATTTCTGTTCTCTTTTGCTTCTTTCTTTTGAGCCCAGAAGAAACGGGAAAAACGATAAAAACTTCAAGGATCTACAATGTAATAAGACTGAAAAGAGAGTCAGTTTTTTCATCCCCAATCACTGTCTCACTGAATAGGAGAGAGATTCCATGTCTCTTGGGAAAAGAGTGATATTGAATGTGACTGGTTTGTGTGTTTGCTTAAATTATTATTTGAGCGTTGACTCCAAATCACTCACTACTAAGTCAGGCATATGGGTCCAAAATGTTGGTAGGAAGTCATGCGTGTAATGACAACTTAGCGGGACCCACTGAACGTTGGTTTTTTAACTTTGTTTCTTTTTTTTTTTAATCCATTGGCCACCAATTTCCGTTCATAACTTGATGAAAGCGGAATCGTCAAAAAAAAAAAACAAAACAAAAAAACAAAAAATGATGAAAGGGGCCTTTTGGCTTTTTTTTTTTTTTTTTTTTTTTTTTTTTTTTTTTTTTTTTAAACAAACAAAAGGTTAGGGTTACACTTAAATGTGTTACAAACAAAAGCGTTGTGAAAAGTAGGAATTTGTAGCAAGTGCTACGCTTCAAACCCATGACTTGCCTTTTGTCACTCTCAAAACGCCATTGCAAGGAATGCCATTTTTTTCTCCCAGTAATACATTTTTTTTTTTTTTTTTTTGCTGAAATTTCCCGTAGTAGAATTGTATGAACAAAAATGTTCCAAGTTTTTTTTTCTTAATGTTAGGGGTGTTGACGGACCACGGATTAGGAGTTAATCCGCAATCTAATTTAAAACTGTAGATTAAGAAAATTTCGATCCGTGTTTAATCTAAAACCTTTTTAGATTGGATCCAATTCAATTCAAAATTTATTAAATTTTACGGATTGGACTCACAGATTCTAACCTTTAAAAATATAAATTAATAAATATCCATACAAAATAAACACAAATAAACATATATAACATAACTATAACATAAAGTTGTTCAACCCGAGTCTAAATTGTTATTTCAAACACACACAAAAAATATAGATGGTTAGATAGTTACAACTCAATTAAAAATAATTAACTTATAAAAAATTATATATATAATTATAAAAATTATATATATATATATATGCGATTTCAGATTCACGGATTTCACAAATTAGAAAATGCTCAATCCGTAATTTGATTCAAAACCTTCAGATTATAAAAATCTCAATCCGTATCCGATCTAAAACCTTTTTCAATCTAATACAAAATATCGGATTGGATTGAATTTTACGGATCAATCAGATTGACGAATTCTGTGAACACCCATACTTAATGTTCTCTCTTTCTTTCTCTTTTTCCCTCTCTTCTCCCATTGGTCGTCCCTTCGCCTATTGTCATCTCCCGACCACCGCTGGAGGTCTGTCGCCCCTTGTGCCCCTATGTTGCTTATGTCGTCGTGGCCCCGCTGTGTTGCCATGAAAAAACTGTGTAGGATACAATTGGTCACATACTTGTCAACATGTTGGTATGATATTTTCAGGAAGCTACTATCGGCATATGCTGTTATGACACCATCACGGGGATTTTCATATTCCAAAGGTATTGATGTGACATTTTTGTATAAGAACTTTTCTTTTTCATTATAAAATTCAATCCAGGAATTATGATCCATGCATTGGTGTAAAGCCAACATTACTAAAATTAACCCTTTTAAAAGTGATACGTTGATTTTCAAATAAGAAAGTTTTGGAATATTAACAGGGAAATGATATTGAATTGGACGTTTACCTATCTTTGACGGCTTAAAATTTAGAGTCTGTTTAGTTCGCTGATTTAAATTTTTAATTCGAGTTGAGACGTGATTTTATGTTAAAATTTTTTACTGTAACAAAAAAATTTAAATGTAACTGTTTCTAAGAATTTTTTACTGAAATAAAACTTGAATTAGTGAAATGAATGGAGCCTCAAAATATGAGGCATACATAGATATTTCTATCAGAACATGAAAAGTTATACGAGAAAAGTGCTGCAAATACGAGGCATACATAGATATTTCTATCACAAATTTAAAAGGAGTAATTACTTTGGTCACACTGCAATAGTTTAACAAGTTTAGATGGACAAGCACGAAAAGAAATTTAAGGGGGGGCATAGTGATAGAAACCCTAACAATGTTGTGGCTCATTTTTCACAGTTTATTGAACAAATTTATTCAGGTGGGTTTTGTCTTTCGCGCATAGATCAAGTGATTTATAATAGATTTTGCTCAAATCAAGGTTGACCTCAAAATATTTATAAAAAATCTCACCATGGAACCAATTGATGAAACTTTGAAAGTTGAGAAAGACCCAAAAAGCTGGTTCTTCCTGTATTTTTGTTAATGAGATGTTGACAATAAATAAAAAAACGAAATAATTACACTAACATATATTTGTGTACAGCATTTTAACATTTTATGAAGATTTACCGTCTCGTCCTGTAAAACACCAAAAAAGAAAAAAAAAAATCGCGGCTCATCTTATTACCAGGACGGGTAACAATTTCAACGGAAGAAACGAATTGAATAAATTTGCTCTATATAACCTGAAGATTTCACGTGCTAAAAAAATGATTTACAGAATACAATACTACAAAATGAGCTAAGCAGACTTACAAGCTGTACCTGGAATTCATCTACCTTCATCAATGGAAGAAACAGAAATGGAGTTTCTCGAATATTCCTCAACGACTAAGCTACCACTAGCTGAAGCCTTTGTACCACCACTATATCCACTACTAGCATTAGTATTGGTCAAAGCCGATGAAGTGGTAGTTGTCCATCGTCCTACGCGGCCTTGAATTCCGGGTTTACTTGGTCTCGGCAAAGTAAACGAGTCGCTTGAGAGCATAAGATGAACAGAGTTCATGTCAGGCCTATCTGCAGTGTTCGCCTGACAACATAACAATCCTAGTTGAATGCACATTGCTGCCTCGTCGCGATTGCATTTGGTAAGGCTCGGGTCAAGCAATTCCAATGATTTCCCTGCTTGATATAGCGTCCATGTCTGCGGCAGTGAGAAGGAAATTAAGTGTAAGGAAATGCATTTGCATAGCCCACTTTTGTAATTTAAACGGATGACAAACAATGATAGCGGACTGAGAGAGAGAGAGAGAGAGAGAGAGAGCTTAGAGTAAACGCAAAATAGGAGGAAAACATAAATGTAACCGAAAGGGAATAATAAAGTGCTTGCAGTTGCAGAACCAAATTACTCGAACTATCTAAAATTGAACGATTGTACGGTGTAGTTGAGGAAACAATGGTTCAAATGGCACAATGCTAGCTACTAATGTACTTAAAAAAAATAAATTATAATAATAATAACAATAACATATTTTTTTATTTAAAAAAAAAAAGAACGATGAAACAGAAAAACAATATTGCATTATGTGGCAATTATCCATTCAATGTGATTTATAACAATTAACAGTTACTGCTACCCTTTATTGAAAGCCGTTGTAATGGTCAGGTTCATCTTCTCAAATAATTGGTGATTTCTCTTCCAACAGTTCATGTGGCGACCAATTAAAACGAAAACAAGCATCAAACATGTTGTCACAATCAAACGTTAATTTCAAAAGTTGCACCGGTACATCTCAAAGCAGTAACTTACATAGCTCAATAGATCTGCCTTTTCTCCAGATAGTTGCTTATCATGATTCTTTCTTCCACTAACAATCTCTAAAACCAATACCCCATAACTGAAAACATCCGTCTTCACGGATAAATATCCACGCATTGCGTATTCAGGGGCCATATAACCACTGCGTGTAAAGAGAGAGATATAGAGAGAGAGAGAGAAAAAGTTAAATCTCTTCTGGTTATCTATGAAATTACTGCGTATTCACAAAAACGTTCGACTGTATAAAAGAAGACAAAAAGATGTAAGCTGAAGAATCTACTTACTGAGTACCAGAAATCCTAAATGTATTTACATGGGTGTCATCACCCGGAAAAAGTCTTGCCAAGCCGAAGTCTGAGATTTTTGGATTGAGCTTTTCATCCAACAATATGTTACTTGCTTTAATGTCTCTATGGATGATCCTCTCTGGAGCCTCTTCATGTAGATAGAGAAGACCTCTAGCTACACCCATAACAATCCGAAACCGTGTTGCCCAATCCAAGGATGTGGACTTCTCTTTAACTGAAAATTTTTACCACTTACACCAATTAACTACCTTAAGGAAGCATGTAGCCACGTAAACGAAAACCCTCTAAAGTTGAACAAAAAGTCTAAGAAAAACATTTTAATTCATTGGCAGTCTATACGTCAACATGTATAAACTCCTAGTATGAAAGTAGCTTACCAAAAAGAAAGTAATCAAGGCTTTTATTCGGCAAATATTCATAAACAAGCATCTTCTCCTCTCCTTCCACGCAACATCCCAATAACATTACCAGGTTCTTGTGCTGACTTCTCAGTAAAAGTTTCACCTCATTGGTGAATTCTCTTACTCCCTGTCTTGAATTTAGGGATAGCTTTTTCACAGCTACTTCTTGACCATTTGGCATCAACCCCTAAAACAAGTTGGCATTATCTTGAGAACAAACACAACGAAAGAACAAATAGAGAATTTTTGTCTTCATTATTAGTCAATTGCACCAAAAAGAAGTATTTGTTTCTGATCAAAGGAAAGATGCTCAAGAAACAAAAAGCCACTCACCTAAACATCAATGCAATATGAAAGCAACCACTTACACATATGCACAACACATGGATTTAAAAAAAGCCAAAACAAAAAGAGAGAGAGAGAGAGAGAGAGAGAGAAGAAGACGAAAAAGAAGAAGAAGAAGAAGAAGAAGAAGTAAGGAAACACAGCCCATTTAAATTGAAAAAGAAGAAAAGCTAGGAATATAGAGTAAAATACTTTCCTTCCCTCTGAGAAACCGTTGGTACTTCCTATGGGTGCTTTTAATTTATCATTACCATTGTTGGCATACTTTCTTATTAGGAAAGAGGAGAAGATGTCCTCAAAAGAGAAGGTAAATTCAAAAGACAAAATACAACTGACTAAAACCACCAAATTCGTATAGTAAGACCCCCTGACACATCTTTCAAGTTCAGAATAATCAAAGAAAAAGGAAAGCTTTTATAGACTTTCCCCTAATTTTGATTCAAACATTTTTTTGTTACAATGTTCTCTCTCATACATATTTAAACAAATTTGAATTTCTATTCAAACTTTCTCCTGAAACCTATAAACCAACGGGCAATTTATCTGTCGAAGCCTATAAAGAAGCAAATAACTTTGCTTTTTGGAAAAGATCTGTTGTCTCCATCTCCCACTCCTCGAAAATTCTGCCATTTCTTTCCATCCAAATGGTTCAAAGTAGTGAAATTACAATATTTTTTCACATAACTCTAGCCATCTTATCAGAATATAACCACTATGCTATTGTCAATATAAAAGGGAAGTTTTCTTCAAATTGAGGTGGTTTTGGTGAACTTGATCAGTTCCAACCATAAAGTTATAATGCAGCCATTTATTTGGAGATAATGATTGATCTGAATATAACTTCTTTCACCTATCTACATGCAGACCCCAGACCACAATTATACTTATCAGCACTTGATCATGTTTAGCAAGGATGCAGTTTAAAGCCCAACAACATTGTAAAAAGTGTGGAAATCGGCCAATAACAATAACAATGACAATGACAATAATAACAATAACAAAAACAATAACAATAATAATAATAATAATAATAATAATAACAATAATAATCATCTTAGCTTAGCACTTTTAATCATATTTAAACAAAGAAGTTATCCATGACATTGCTTATTTCAACAATGTGATTGTAGTTGAAAAGGGAAACGAAAGTATTTTAGCACATATACAAATTATGCATAAGAAGCATATAAGCTTCCCATAATTTCAACAGAAATTATTTAACATAACGTAATAGTTCTCACTTTAAAAATATATACATACATACACACACATATATATATACATATATATATATATATATATTTAGTAGTTCTTACTCCTATCGAAGTTCAAGGTTGACATTTTCTTAAATGTCGTTAATACAAAATTGACTGAAATCAGAATACACCAAAACTACAAGTTGGCTAATGCACTAATAAGCAAAAGCAAATAGGAATTTTATAATTCAACCAAACAAGCTAACAATTTTGGAACTCTAGATCTTTATCCATTGCTATCAACAAACTTGGCTTGGTCCAAACTCCGGCCAAATTCAAGTTTCAAATTTTACCCAAGGTCTGAATCCAAAGAAATAAATAAACACGTGGAACTGAACCTAGTCAGCATTTTCTTTTAAGCCATTTTAATAATACATGAAACGACCATGGAAACCAAGTTCCACAAGCTATCCATCAGGATCCTAAAAGATCATGTGATATGAACAAGTCAATATAATGACTATACATTGTCTTACCCACGTGACTGGCATTAGTTGCTTTTAAGGTTTTGTCTTTAATTGGCAGGTCGAGGGGCAGCTGGAGATTGGGCAGACGTCGGAAGGCTTGATCCTCAATCGCCTTCGGCATTTGCCTTGGGCTTTAAGACAAGAGACAAAACTAGTAGCTCACTCAGGCAATTGTTCTCGGGTAGCTAGCTTTAGCTGTTCGGCTTGAAGAGAAGACTCATAGCGTCGTTGCCTAAACTTCTAGGATTTCTAGTTCCGTGCTCTAGGGCTTTGACTTCTAATAAGGAGAACTTGGAAATCGCGAACCTGCTGCTCTAGTTAAATTCAAGAGGGAGAGTTGCTTGCCAGAGAGGGATTCTTCATCAAAAGATACTACAAATGAAGGAGTGGGGCCGCCTATTTCGCTCTCATCTGAGGACGTGACCCCAATCTCTCCTTGGCTTGTAATAAGGAGTGGATCGCACCACCAAGGCGGGATGCCTAGTTTTTCCCCGTCCTGGTCAATATTAGGCGCCAAAAAAAATAAATAAATATAGAACTATCTTTCTTACTTTATTTGTTCCTTCTCACGACGCATTCAACTACAGAACCTAAGCTTGAACCACTTTGGATTCCATTTTTTGCATCTTAATTGAATGTGGGCATGCCTCCTCAAAATAAAACGGAAATTTAGTGGACGCCTGTTTTGGCCACCCTTTTAAATTAAATGGCTGATTTTTTTTTTAAGGCAATGACCTAACCTCTTTTCTTTTTTTTTTTTCAAGAGTCAATCACTAATATACTATGGTTTACCACCGATAAACAGGTAAATAATTGATTGCAATTGGTTTATCATAAACTGATATTGGCCAATCATTAATAAATAAGTGTATTATTAATTTACCATGATTTATTATTGATAAACAACATTTTATAAAAAAAAATAAAAAAAAAAACTCAAAAAGGGCATTTTTGCACATACCCTAACATTAAATGAAAAAACAAAAACATTGTAAAAAAAAAAGTATTTTGGCATATACTGTCCCTAAACTTTTTAACTATTTACATGTTATCTCTAAACATTTATTTTGACATATTACCTTCTAAATCCTAGTTTATCACGGTGTTGCAGAGTGTTGCAAAATTTTAACGAAAATGCCCTCATACACATTTATATGAGCTCAATCGATTTCCTTCTAAATTTAAACATCATTCATCGTTTGGGGTACTCTGGAATAGTTAGTAAAATCAAGGTAACCTAATACGTCAAAAATCAAAGGTTCAACCGACAAAACTCCTTAAAAAATATAAAAGGTTACAATTTAGCACAATGTTCCCCAATGCACCCAATCAAAACTGAATACCAAGAAAAGAAGAGTCTAAAGACAAAGCATTTTAGTAATTCCAGCTTATTTAGAAGGCTAGTTTCGTCATTCACCATCCAACAGCCCACATACACCGGAAAAACTAAGCAGACAGAAAACAACAGCTTCGTTATTGTACGCTCAACAATTATTGCAGAATTCATGTCAATTACTATTTTACCGATTTAAATTTAAAATTTTATTACAGTAAAATTTTTTTTACATAAAATTATATCTAATTGAATTTATATTATTGAAAATATAAAGCCAACTAAACGGCCCTAAAATTGCAAGATTTTTAATGATAATCTAAATCATGATTAATCTTTAAGCTATCAGAATTGAACTTTCGGAAATCAAATTTCTTTGTCAAAATCATATATTTACCGATTTAAATTTAAAATTTTATTACAGTAAAATTTTTTTACATATCAATTCAAATTAAAAATATGAAGCGAACTAAGCGGCCCTAAAATTGCAAGATTTTAATGATAATCTAAATCATGATTAATCTTTAAGCCATCCGAATTGAACTTTCGGAAATCAAATTTCTTTGTCAAAACCATATATTGAGCTCTGAAAATTGATATTCTCACCTTGTAAACGGGACCAAATCCTCCGTGACCGAGTTTGTTGAGCTCGGAGAAGAAATTGGTGGCGATCTGCAGAGAGTGGAGGTCGAAGAAGAGGTCGAAAGCCTCGAGGATTTCGTCCGCGTCGCCGGCGGCGGCGGCCTGGTCGGCGGTGCGGCAGGGCCTCAGGGATTCTAAGCAGGCGCAGAGAGAGGAGAAAATCCCCATAAATGCATCAAGCCGCCGATATGGAGTTGGATCTTAGCACGGCTCTGTACCGGAGAAGTAAACGAAATTAGTTGACTGGTGAAAGATTATTATAAGAAGAAGAAGAAATTGATGGAGCGATCTTGCGTTACCAATCATGAAAATACGAAAGAGGAGGAGGAAAAGAAAGAAGTGTCAGCGTTCCGAAATGACAGTTGTATTTGTTGTTTGCTTTTCTGCTTTTGGGAGTTTCGGTAAACAGGGGATCGATGGTTTTCTACTTTTCTTGTTTGGCGTGATTCGGGTATTGTATTAATATAGTTTCATTTGGAAATATGGTGTTTGTATTTTCTTCTTGTATCTGGGTTTTTGTATACGACAATTTTACCTCATTTATTTGTAGGAATTCGTATTAAACAGGACATAAAAAATTCACTTTAATCAGATCTAAATTGTAAATAGGTTAAAATTTTAACCCGTTAGAACTGACCCTATTTCTAATTATCCATCCCGTTTAATTATATTCAATTTTTAAATTAAATATATTATGTATAATATGCTATAATATATACTTTTAAATATAATCTATTACATAAAATGTATGAAAATTTAAAACTACTTTTCATTTATTTTTTTTTTTTAAGGCAAATCATTTTATTGTGTAAGAAATAATTACACAAGACACGAGTAATCTCAATTACAAAGAAAATTCACCATGAACTAATGACTTGATCCACCAATGAAAGCAACGTAGCACGAGGATGAAAATGGGTACCAAGACTCAATGATAAAAGTTTCGCTCGACACGGAAACATAGAATATGATCAATGCTCATTTAAAGGCACAAACAGTCGATGGATTAACTCAGTTGACCGCCACGTAAAGAGGACATCAACAACACCGCCTAGAGGAAGCTCTAGCCGGACCAAACAACCCACGATGTCCGTAAACAACTTACAGGCGTGGGAGACACAACCAAAACTAAAAGGTGGAGAAACCACCTCTATTATTGCAATACAAGGGCGAGCACATGTTGCCTTTATTACAACCAAAATAAAAAATTAACAAAGAAAAAATGGAGATAACACCGTGATAGAAGGAGGGAATCTGCTGCAGCCACCATTCAACCATTTCCCTTCGATGATCAACATCGCATCTGATAATCTAATGAGCACTTCATTCTCTTCCCGATCTGGCATCTCGCAACAATGAACCCATCTCACTCCGCTGAGCTTCCTTCGACCACACCTCGGGTCCCTTAGATCTAGGGTCCTCTGAACATAACCTCCACGCACAAATCTGACCAGAAATAGATCCAGCCACCTCTAACCACGACATCCTCAAATAGGTCTCGTCGATGTTGGTCTTCGCAGGTCCAAACTCCCCGTCACCCACAATGTGTATGTTTGGCGTTCCGTCTAAAGTCACCTCCACAAGCACCCACAAACCATGCCTCACCCTCTCCCGTCTGATCGGAGCGTGACAACTAACCTTGTGGTGGTGCCAGACTCCAGCCTATAAGGGATAGGGAGGCTGTTGCAAAGGAAATTCCTTGATGGAACCCTAGAAACTAAGAAGAAAAGAGAGCGAAGAGAGCCCGCCTTTTATTTATTTTTAACTTAATCTTTTGAATATTTGTATTTTTTAATTATTTATTTATTTGTTCTACAATAAAAATAACTAATTGGGTAAATGGGGCACCGCGAGTATTCTGAAACTATGACGGGAAAATCCACTCCTTAACCCGTCAACTTACAAGGCTTCATAAGGAAAGTATGGTGAGTGTTTTTATTCGCGAGGAGCGTTGGAGAGAAGACCACCCCACTCCAAATCCGCCCCGTTATCATCCCCAATACATGAACCCAACTATTCTCCTTTTATATTTACAAGAAAAGCCAAACATATAAAAAATATATATGTGTTTTAATAATAAATTTATTCTCATTGGTGCCTCTTAATTTTAGATTAATTCTCACTTTACTCTTGAATTTCAGAAACTTTCATTTTTTACCTATGAATTTTGAATTAGTCTCACTTAATTCCTTCTATTAAAATTTCAATCACAAATAGACGAAAAACGAATGGTTAAATAACATCATGTTGTTTTTTTTTTCATTTTCTATTAAATAAAATTGTAACATAAAAGGTTAAATGGACTAATTGAATTTTTAGAGAGTAAATTGAGAGTTTTTAAAGCTTAGTGAATAAAGTGACAATTATCCTGAAATTGAAGGGATACTAATAAGAGTAAACCCTAGGAATATCATGATCATCTTATGTATTTTTAAATTCATGTTAACATAGTTTTACTAATACAATTTGGTGAGATTTTTAGTGCGATGAGAAGAGTTTAACCTTCTTTAGAGAATTATCTTATCAATACTCACTTTTGTTAAGGTTAAATTTCGTTCCTCATTTCTCATCTTACATGTGTCCTCATACGTCTCGGAAAATGAGGCTAAATCATGAAATCGGCTGCCAAAAATAGTCTGTTACCTATCAGCAGATTCGAGCCGCGGAGATGCCACATCAGCATTTCGAGATTATGGACTGATTCCATCATTAAGTCAGCACCAAATCATGGGATCTTGCCTAAAAAGTAAAAGGAAAAGTTAATTACACCTAGACTTGCTCTCTAAGCCACCTCTTTACACAGAAAGAATCTTCAATCAAAAGTCAAAAGGGAAACTTGCTCTAAATCATTTTTTCAGCGATCAAGACCTATATTTAAGGCCCTTGAACAACCACAAAGGGGCTACGCACATACAGATACATGTCATCTCCTTCCTCACATTTTCCCAGAAGCTTTCCAACAGTTTCCTAAACATCTGCTGTATTTTCCACATACTCTTCTGACGTTTACAGAAATTTTCATTGTATTTATCTTCTACAATCATAGTGGAGCCATCGAAGACCCTTCAGTGGACATACCTTGGGTTATTAGGGGAACCACTATAAATCTCGGTGTCTCACTATTTTTATTTTCTGCCTTTTTCATTTATTTTATCTGCGATCACAATACTAACGCTCTAATCATCTGAATTCAGTCATTTTCCTCTAACAAATTTAATTGTAGATTTCACCCTCTAAAATTTTGATCTAAAATTAGACACACTGAAACAACGTTACGAATTTGAGTAAAATCTCAAAGACGAAAAGTCTCAAAAATTTTAAAATATATATTTTTTCTTTAAAAAAAGGAGAAAATTGATGGACTTATCCTTAGACTTATCCTTAAAGTGCATTGGTTTAATTTTTATCTTTTACTCTTAATTAATACCCTTTTAACTAATATAGTTACTTGATGGGAAATGATATTAATCATGAGTGAGAGATAAAAGTTCAAACTCATATATTTTAAAGGGTATTTATCTCATTTTTCTAGAAAAAAAATTATTGTCAGTCATGAGGATGAGATCTGCATCTTGAGCCTCCACGACCTTAGTGCGAGTCTTATAACCCTTGATGCAATGGGTTGCTTACTTTAAGGTAGTAGGTTGCGATGATGTGGGTTCTGGACCATGGTAGCTATAAGTTTAACTATTATTTTTTCCAACTCTTTATTTATGTCACTACATAAAACTTTGATGCGACTACAGAAAATAAGATGCAAGATAAGAAGTGATAACTTGCAGGTTATAAAAGATAACCTGCATATTACGAAAGATTACCTGCAGGTTATGAAAGATAACTTACATGTTATGAAAATATAATTTACAGATTATTAGTGACATAAAATAAATTTAACAGTAGTAGTAAAATAAAATAGTGTTACTTTATTGATAGCATTTTTGAAAGTTTTCCTTTTAGTTTTGATAATAGTTGGAAAATTGGTCAACGGCAAGCACATATTTGATTTTGTTTTTCCTTCTATTTTTATTGGCATTTACATTACTTTGATTTTTGTTCACTTGACACTTTGTGCTCAATTTTCTTATTAGGTACAAAGGATCATGTATCACTATTTATTTTCACTCTTTTCCTTCGAAATATTTATAACTAGGTGCTATGTATCACATATTATTCTTATTCAAAAATTGGTTAAATAATAGTTATCTAGTTTAATTGGTGAATCGGCTTATACCAAGGAAGTAGATCGATCAGGCCATGTCAAATCAAAGAAAGAAGGAAATACAGGTCATTTTGTATGCGTGATTAATCCTGGCCTCTTTGTTGATGAGACTTAACTAGAGGTGAAAGTTTAGACTGAACCAAGCGAGTCGGCTCAAGGCCCAACACTGTCAGTCCGGTCCATTTAAGAGTTTGGGCCAGACCGGCCCGACCTAAACCTCAAGGCCGGGCATGGCCGAGGTTTCGAGCGCGAAACTATATTCGGGCCGAGCTGGGCCGACCCAAACACCCATTTTTTAAAATTTTCTTAAAAATACCTTATACATTTCAAGACGGCCTAAACTTCTCATTTAGGACGTCGGGCCTGGGCCGAGCGGTCCAAACTTTCACTTTTTACATTCAGCCCTAGTTCTAACTGTTAAATTAGAATGACAATGGGGCGGATTTATGGCAGGCGGTATTCCTGCCCCGCCCTGCCCCATTTACTCGATTAGTTATTTTCATTATAAACTAAATAATTAATTAATTAATTAATACAAACATACAAAACACTATATTAAAAATAAAACAATGTAGTTTTAAATTTTCATATGTATTAAGTAATAGATTATATTTAAAATTATATATTATAACATATAATATAATATATTTAATTTAAAATAATATCTAATTAAACGGGACAGATAAATAAAAAATAAGGCTAGAGATCTTTAAACTCGTTTCCGCTTTGTGACCCGCGACGGTTAAATTTTTATACTGTTTACAATCTAGATCCATAAAATGGATTTTTTTCACCTCATTTAATACGGAGATAAATGAGTTAAAAATGTAAAATTGTGATTCCTGCTCTTAAACAAGAAAAAGAAAACAGAGAACAGACAAAAAAGTCAATCCCGGGTCCCATTTGCCATTCATGTTTTGACCAGATATTCAGTCGATAATTCCATTAGAGGAGAGTGGTGCCACGCGCTTCCTCAGTTTTTCCTTCCTAAACTTCCAGATTCAATTTTAGTTGAAAAATTTTCGGGTTCAATTGGCGCGTACTCTCACTTGCGAATGAAAATTTCCGAGAGATTGACAAATTCATCTACAAGACTACAACAAAGCACAGGTTATACGACACTGCCATGCACGTTTGTAATTTCAATCTGAATGGACAACACAATCAATCGCCTTCACTCATATATAAAAGTATTGACTATACGTTTTCTAATTTTAT